ATTGCAAACATGGAACTTGTATGGAAAGAAACATGAAAATTATCACTAAAAACATGGCTTCAACGAGCATTGCTATTTCCTCGTGAATTTTCTGGTTCCTAGGAGGGAGGTCAAGTAATTGTACAAGTGTTGCTCCTCCCAATACATTCATGGTACCGCTACGGTGATCAAACATTGGTGTGCTGCTCAACCACACGTTGTGTGGTGCACTGGAGGACCAATAACAGTATCTTCTTTGACACCATCTTGATTTTTTCGCTTATACCAAGACATCGTGATCATGTAACGAAAATAAAGAAGTAAAAATTTATTCAAGAACTTCAGAGCACGTAATACAGAAAGTGAAGTAGTTTAATAATCAATCTTATTTCATCACTGCATATCTAAACGACGAAGAGACTCATTTAATTAGTCTCTTGCATTTTAACAATAAATATATCATGCGTATCTTTTATATAAGTTGTCTCGACAAATATACTTTGTCGTTTNTGCATATGAAAAATAATACTACACAAGGTCACCTAAGATGATCACTACCTCGATCAATTATCACGTAATTTCTTGTTCGGCAAAGAGAAATCACGGGTCACGAATAATAAATAAATATGTAAATAATCATAAAAAGTGTTTTAAAAATTGGATCGGCCCGATCAATTCCATCGGAAAAATCGAGAATCGGGAACAAAATCGATCCAATTAGACTTATGCAACCTCTAATTAAAATGGGAAATTATAAAAAATCAGGGGTTTAAATATAGTTTTTTAAAAATCAGGTCCAATATTTATTTATTAACCCTAATTCTTCCACATTCCTTCTCCCCATCCCCCTTTCTCCCTCGTCTCTCTCTCTGTGATCCTCTCCCCCTCTCGCCTCCTCCCTTCTCCCCTCCCCTGAAGCTGCCGTTCACAGAGTACGACAGCGTCGCGACGCTGCTGTGAACAGCAGTGTCGCTACGCTGCCGCGCGACGCCTCCTACCTCTGCCGGCGCGACGCCTCCCATCTCCATCCTTCTCTTTTTTTTTTGAGTGGTGGTGATTGACGGTTCGGTGGTGGAGGTGCGGAGTGCTGTGGTGGTGGAAGTGTGTTGGCTATGTTGGGTGGCGAATCTGGTGGTTGCGGTGAGGTGTGGTCGCAGTGATGGAGGTGATGGTGGTCGTGGCAGATCTGGTGGTCGCAGTGGTGAGATCTGATTTGGATCTTATTTGTTGTTTGGAAATGGTAGTTGTGATGGTGGCTGATGGCGATGGTGGAGGCGGCGACGCTGTGAGGTGGTGGCTATTTGTGGAGTGTTGGCTGTTGGTTGTTAATTGAAGTTGCAGGTGGCTGTAGTTTTTGACTGTTGTTGGCTGTTGTTAACTAGTTATGGTGGTGTTTTGGTGGGGCGGATCTGTGTGTTGTGGTGCAGGTGGCTATTTTCTGATCTATGTGTGGGTAGTTTTCTATCGGTGGTGGTTGGTGGACGATGATGACGATGGTTGTGTAGGTCGTGGTGGAGAAATGGCAACTGCAACCTGAGGTGGTGGTGGTGGTGGCGACGGGTTTCAGATTTTTTGGTGGGGGGTTGTCATGTGGTGGAGATGGTTGAGATTTGTTTTGGTGGGGGTGGCTGTTCTGGTGGTGTAGGTGGTGCGGGTTGGGATAGGAGTGGTGGGTTGACGATGGTACAGGTGGATGTGGCGAGTGAGGATGGTCGCAGGTGGCTGGCGGCGGTGGTAGTATTGGTAACGATGGTATGTGACCTACTATTTGGTGCTATGTGACCTACTATTTGGTGGTATGTGACCAAGTATTTAACTGTGACCTAAAAATTTGACAATATGTAACTGAAAAATAATCTGTGACCAACAAATTTGAAAATATGTGATCAATGAAATTAACAATTTTTTAAATGTGATCTAAAAATTATATAATCTGTGACCGTAAAAAATCTGTGAGCAATTAATTTGAAAATCTGTGACTGTTTGACCTATAAATTTTGATATGTGACCAACTAATTTTGAGATCTGTGACCAACGAATTAAATGTGACCTATAAAATTTTTGAACTATGACCGTAAATTGTAAATCTGTGACCGGAATGATTGGCGGAATAGTCGTCGAAATAGTCGTCGGAGAAGAGTGGTCGCCGGAATAGTTACCGGTGCGGTAGGGGTGGTTCATGTGGGGTTTGTTTATTATATTATATTAGAATTAAAAAAAAAAATCTGATTTTTGAATTTTCAAATTATAAACATGATTTTTGAATTGGTGTAAACTAAACACCTTATTTATGAATTTTTCCAAATTAAAAACCAGCCCCAAAATCCGTTAAACCAGTCGATTTTTGGAAAATCATAACTCGTTCCCTGTTTACCGATTCACCTATATAAAAGTATTTTTTTTTATAGAAAAATCACATCCTGATTCACTTCGGTTCAATTTTTGGACTCTCGACCATTTCCCTTTTCGAGTCGACTTTTGAAACATTAATCATAACAACATAAACACACCCTAGTTATGAAGCCGACTGAAAGCTGTAAAGCCAAGACAACTCCTAGCCTCACTGCGCTGTTGGCGGAAGCCGACTAACCATATGGCTCTCTACGCTACAGTTGTCCACAAGATCCTAAACAGTTTGAGAAATGTTATTCATTCTCATTGGGGATGCATCCTCAATCTATGTGGCGTTAATGTGGCATTAAATGATAGGTGAAATTAAATAATGTGGCGTTAATGTGACTGGGGATGCATCATCACTGGAGATGAATAGCATTTTTCAAATAGTTTTGTTCCTTCATGACTAAGCCTAAGACGGGATCCACACGCTGATGTAAGCCACACGTACGCTTTTAAAAGCCAAGAGCTGCCCCCACATCATTAGTCGTGCCTCTTTAAAGCTTTCCAATTACCAAAAATGCCACTATCTGGACATCCCAAATCCAGTGTTATAAAAAATGCACTTAGACCACGCAATCTAGGTACGATGCACGGTGAAAACACCAAGCTAAGTGGATTGACGTTTTATTTAGCGGTCAACACCAATGTTATAAAAAAAGGCACTTAGACAACGCAATCTTGGCATGATGCTCCGTTAAAACACCAAGCCAAGTGATTTGGCGTCTTATTTAGAGGTCAACAGCAATCGTGACCGCTAATGGGCGCCTAGACGAGGAACACAATATTATCTTTTTTTTTTTTAATTCTTTTTAAATTATTTTATGTTAAAATTTAAAGGATGATTTACATTCAAAACATATTTTTTTTGTTGAGAACTTTGAAAAAATGTATAAAATTTTCACAAATGTGCTATTTGATTGATTAAAAATTAAAATAATGTTAGCGAAAACACAAAATAATTTGGCACATATAGAAATCCATATTATGTTCGTTAAATTTTTTATATACTTGAATTACTTAGGAGCGAAATTCTTTCGAATGTATCTTGAAACGAGCTGAAAAAGCTATCATTTTTTTTTTCTTTTGTTCTCCCTCTTTCTCACGATTTTTCTCTCTTTCCTTTTCTTTCCACTCCCTGAATTTGTGCAAATTGACTTACAACAACAAAAATGTATCTATAGATGTGATTAGATAAAGATAATTACATATTTAGAATTCTGATATGACTTTTATTGTGTTTAAATCACGTAATTTTGGAAGAATGTATTTTGAAATAGTAGATTGATGGAGAATGTGTAATTGAAAAAAGATGAAATTTTATTGATGTGATGGAAAATCTTATTTTATGAAAAAATGTGAGGTTGAAAATGAGTAGAAGAATGCGAATAAAAATTTTAATGTGGCTCAAACTTAGGCTAAAATAAGAAAACACATTTTTAATCATATGTCTTGTCTAAACCCGTCTAGTCCATAGCTTGAATTTCACGCATCGCCACACTTTATGCTTCTTAAAAAAGTGTCCAAATGGCTTTCGGTTTGCCCATAAATACCAGTCTCCTCCCTCTCGTTCCTTCCCTTTTCCCCTCCTAACCTCTCTCAACCCATATAAGCGGTTTTCCGGCGATGATGTCAACATTTCCGACCCTTTTTTCCTCTGACTTTTTCTTTGGAAACCCATTTCCATCTTTCGAAGGTGGTTTCACTCCCTGGGATTCCCATGACCCGCCGTTTCTCTTTCCACCTCAAGAAGAAGAGCCCGTCCTTGTTAGCCCACAACCACCCCAAGAACCAGTCAATTCCAATTCCGGTTCTGACAAACCATCCATCCTCACTCCAAATTCATGTTACGATGAACCGAACCGGAATAGCTCTAAAACCGTGAGCTACGGTTCAGAGAAGACTAGCCGTTTAGGTGCTCATGCAATCATAGATGAGAGAAAGCGTCGACGCAAGCTATCGAACCGGGAGTCGGCACGGCGGTCCCGACTGCGTAAACGGAAACATTTGGAGAACTTGAGGAACCTCGCGAACCGGTTTAAAATCGGGAACCGGGAACTAACGAACCGAGTGTGTTTGTTGATACATCAGAACCAATTGGTCCGGCAAGAAAATGATCGCCTCCGATCGGAGGCGATCATGCTCCGGCGGAGACTGTGGGATATACGTCAAGTATTGCTCGTCCGGCAACTTCAGCAGCATTTAAATCCCTCAGCATGGCCATGCAATAACATTACATCCGTCAATGAAGAACAAATTCTACACCAATCATTAATTACATAACAATTATATAATAAGAAAAATAAATAGGCCCGTTTCTTCAAGACATGCATGCTTGCATGAACCCTAGGAAAATCTCTCTCGTTAGTGTCTGTGTAAATTAAATTTAGGTAGAAACTGGTGATGATTTTTGGAATCGGTTGTAGTTTAGAAAAAGTGGGTGGGTTTTGTTTTTTTATTTTTATTTTGATGTATGGCTTTATTTAATTAATCAAATATCTCAGATGATATGTTAATTTGTAGCTAATTTCAATTTTGCAAATATTGAATCCGTTCACAAATTAATTTATTAGCTAAAACCGTCAAATAGATTAAACAATGGCATGCAAGCAATTACGTGCATCCAAGATCCAACTGTACAATATATTAGTATTAATAAATTGCTCTAATGTTGTCAATTATTGCATGGAGTACAAAAAGTTAAAGCACATTTACTTGGTATTGCAAATCACGTTCCGACAAATATAATACTTAAAACTCATCAAAAGATCGTACTTTAATCGTAAATGTAGTGTTTACGATGATAAATCATTTGATATTACATTACCGATGATCAGTAATCACCACTTATAATAAAAACACACTTTGAAAAAAAGTCTTAAAAACATTTGAACATTCTTTGGACGGGATAAGAGTAACGGAGAATTCATTTCTCCGTATCTACTTTCTTAAGACTTTTTCAAATATCTTCATAATTAATTTAGAGTGTGTTTTGGAGAAATTTTTGTGGGATTTTAATCAAAATTATAGCCGTTAAAGTCAACTCGTGGGCTCCACATGTGAGAGGGAAGGTCAAAAATGGTGGCTGATTTGATTGTTAACGCTAGATTTTTTATTAAAATCCTGATTAAAATTTCTCTCAAACAGGGCTTTATTNAAAATTTCTCCCAAACAGGGCCTTATTATACTAAACATATTGATGTATGTGTTAGCGCGATGATGCACATACGCATACGATGTCTAACAGTCCAAAAGCAAAAAAGCAAAACCACGATGTTGGACAAAGAATCAATCAGAGACGGCAAACGTGATTTTAATAAGCAAGTTCAAAAATATCAACCAACTTTTTGTTTGCTAACTTCGATTGGTTTTGGATGAAGCAGAAATGAGATGGGAACTTTAATGTTTTAATAATTAATAAAAGACAAAAGACCCGCAAAGACGTTGGCCAATTAACCCTTAGCAAATTAATGAGGATGCACACGTCAATCCCATCTCTAATAAATTAATAACCTTGATTAAAGAATTAGACGTAAAATACATTAAATAGTTAGTGGGCAACTAGGCAAATGTATACATGATATTCAAAACACCAAACTTATAAGTATGGTCAAATAATCGATCAATTGAATTTTTCGACAAGATAGCTTCTGTTCATAGTAATATACCAGTTCTGTGGCCGGATCGTTGACATGTCCATCGGAAACTAAAAACTCCCGTGGAAGTATGTAGTACAAATTCTATGCGCGATCAATCATATATTTCATACGACTCATAACTTTTATCAACTTTTGAACTACACATTTTATCAATTTTTATCAAAATATAATTTTTAAGCAAATCAAACTCTCCTATAATTGAAAAATGGGTGGACAAACAGAAGAGCGTCGGTGCGACGACCAAATTCCGATATTACACGATATGGGGACGTGTTAAGTGATGTTTGGCGTGTCTGCTGTTTTTAGGTTTTGGAATTAGGTACCCATTGAAACAAATAATTTATTAATATTTTTTTTTCTAGCCTTGATTACGACACATGTTGGACTGTCTCTTCCGGCGAGTTATAAAGATGCAATTATTAAATTTTTTCATAATATACAAAATGTTGTGAATTGAAGAGCGTCAAATTTATAAGACATACATCTAGGCAGTAGCGGACAGAGGGGTGACATGGAATCACGTGACTCACAAACTTTGGGGCCATATCTTTTTATTTTTTAAAAGAAAAATTCTATATTTTTGTCTCAATTTTCAAAGTTATTATGAAATGTCAAACAAAATCGAAATATTACATTCTTAGTATCATTTTGAAGTGCTCATTGCCTAGTTTTCTACGTTATTAATGGTGCAGAAACGGCTAACCATAACAAATGTCAGCTGAACAAAGCTCATAAAGCTATTAATTGCTAACTTTAAAAGTTCTCTGACAATTATATGATATCCGAATCCACAAATTGCATATGTGATCTCGAAGCTAGTTTCGAAAACTACATCATAAGCATATCGAATTGTCCAAATAGATATCGAAAACGATCTTAAAAAAGACATCTAACTCGTTTTTTTTTTAAAAAAAAAATCTTAAAAAGACAAGTCTAACTCATATTTTAAAAAAAAAATTCAATTATTATTATTTTTGTGATACAAATTTCTCAATATAATTTAAATCATTTTATTTAGAAATTTTACATAGGATACGAACTTTACATCCGAAAAGTCATACCCCGTATAAATTTTCGGATGCAAAATTTTTATGTAAATTTTCGAATGTCAAATTCTTCACAACTTTTTTGCAAATTTAATTGTATCCCTAACTCAAAATGTTTACGCCATGAGGCCTTAGGCCATTAGGTTCAGATGCACACATGCATTTAAATTCAAGGGGAAATTAGGCCCAGTACGGCCTAAAATCCATAAAATCGAATAATACGTTCAAACTGTCCAAACAGTAAATTGTATGCTCAAACTGCCCAAATTGATGAAAAGAAATCATTTACAGCAACAATAAAACCCTAACCCACTCACAACACGCCCAAAGACATCGCCTCACTTCGTTGTCCCCTAAATTGAAACCAAATCTGGATACCGTCTCTAAAGCCATCGTCTCCCTTCACAATGGTGAAACAACACCGCCACACCCATCTCCATCTCTAGCCGACACCCTCATTCACACCATGGAATCACACATGAGAGAAAAAGAGTATCCGCCACAGGCACGACCACACTTGCCTCCCTTTTACAGGGAAAATGCGCCACCACCTTCCTATTACGGTGAAAATCCTCCACCGCCTCCCTTTTACGGTGGAAATGCTCCACTGCCTCCCTATACGGGGAAAATGAGCTCCCCCCTCCTCGACCACCGCAAGTCTGCCATTGGTACGACCACACTTGCCTTCCTTTTACAGGGAAAATGCACCACCACCTCCCTATTACAGTGAAAATCCGCCACCGCCTCCCTTTTGCTGCGGAAATGCTCCACCGCCTCCCTATACGGGGAAAATGAGCTTCCCCCTGCTCAACCACTGCAAGTCAGCAATGTTTATCACAACTCCCATACAGGGGGAGCAGAGTATCCCCCGCCTCCGCCAACCGGCTTGATTAATAGTTATTAGTTGAACTGGTTATTTGAGTTATGTTTGTAATTTGAACGAGACATAACTTTGGATTTGCTATCGGAAAATGGGTGTAATCTATGTTCATTTTGTTATCTATCTCTACATTATTTATATGTTTCGATGGGCTAAGAGGCAATCTTGTTATGTGCGTAAAGATGAATGCTATGTGACATTGTTCTACGTAGTTCACTTGAGCAAGGATTTTGATGGAATTCAATTGGTTTGTCACTTTTTTCAGTCGCCTT